AGAGTTTTGAAGATCATATGTCCCCGGATGATTACCTGGAAATATTCTACTAAAGCGCATGTAATTAGATGCCCTAAGCTTTATACCCACATTTTACTAATAATAAGTGAGCTTGACCCAATAATCTTAAAAATTGGACCTGAATTTTTACTTGGCAAAGATGATGGCAATCTCGGTGGTCAAATCTTTATTAATATCATTTCAGGCAACAACGAAATCTATGTCGACATCGAGATTGAGGCTGGAGAAGAAAGCGCAAAGACAGACGCGCTCATTGACCTGAACTTCTACGATTATGATGAGAACAGTCTTAGCTTGTCCGGCTATGAGACGGAAGAGATTGAAGCTGACGTACTTTTGGACTCGCTTTCTGAGGAAGACTTCATCGATGCATTTGCTCCAACTCCTGCCGCTCAGGTTTGCTCCATTTGTCTAATCGTAAATTTTTCTCTAAAATAGATACTCAAAGTACAGATATCACCTTTAGACGAGGTTCAGAAAATTCGAATAGCGGTCATGGCAAAATCTTCCGACTGAATTTATAGAGAGATAATAGATTGCCAATTAAGCTTTGCAACTTTTGCCATAACTTTTCTCTTATTTATGTAGCAATGTCATTCTTTAGCATCACTTAGAGTGTGATGTAAGCTGCGAGTCTGCACAAACCATTTAGTTTGAAAATGTAGTACGATAAAAGCGTTTCTCGAAAACTGCTGAAAATTGAGGTTTAACGGTTTTTTGGCAAACATAAAGCCGTACAAAACCTAAGTCGAACATATCAAAAAACGATCATAGGCAGCATGTAACTAGATGTTAACTTAGAGTTACAAAAAAGAAAGAATTTCAAAGGCAAATCAAGATGAGGGGCCTTTGAGAAGTTGAACAAAAATGCGTCAGTTCTGGAGGGCACTCTGTCAATAACTTTGTTGCGAAACCTCGGAATACGCTAAAACTTTGCACGATAGGATAATCCAGTACGTTGGATACCAGTATCGTACCCACTTGTCGCTAAGATGACATTCATCTCTTGATCTTACGAAAGAGGCCTTTTCATGCGAAATGGGTCTTACTTTCGTGATCAGCATGTCGAATAACCCCTATCGACCAAGTTTCAGCAAAATCTAACGCAACCCAGAAATCTTCCCATTATACCGTAAACCTACCGTAACCTTACATAAGAGAGCAAAATTCGTTAAAAATGACTGCATTTGAAGTTTACATCATGGTTTCTATCTTGCCAAAAAATGAATGCGCCACGTTTAAACGATAAAAGTTATATAAAAAGTTGCTTCACTTATGTGCCAGCCTAATAATTGCAGCTACCAAAAATTTTGGAGAATACCTAACAATAATTCAATATGCCTGACTATGTGATGCGAATTTTTTCGTTTAAAAGATTATATTCAGGAAGTCACAACAACAGTACAAATACCGTCTGCAGCTACATCTGTATCTCGTCTGATAGAAGAGTACAAGATGCCGGCAACGGAGGAAGTTGAGTCTATCACCGCTGCTTCCGACAAAGAGGCTGTCGAGGAAACGTTCAGTCTTCGACGCAAAGAAGGCAAGTCTAGTCTGCATACTATAATCGGAAATCTGATGAAATCCGTATTTTAGTGCCTACAGACCTCGAAGCCGAGATGAAACAACAAATCGTACGCCATCCACAGCCTACTGAATGGAAGAATCTCAAAGAGTCCG